CAATGGGATCGCAAACCTCGGTGCTGCGCCTGCACCTCGCTCAGCCAGTGAGCGGGAACCGGTCTGTATGTGGGATCCGAACCCTCGGCGGGAGCGCCGCCACGCTCCCAAGCTGCACACTGTAACAGTGCGCCACCGGGCCGGCCCTTGTAGTGAACTTTAAACTAGAAATGATTCCTAAGAAAAGTAGAGTCATACCTTCTTTCAGATTTAGCTTATGCTTCCCTGGCATACTGAGAGGAATTTTAAAAAAATTGTTAGTCTATTTTAACTAATGAGTTAAAAAGGTCAAATGGAATTTAATTCCTCAGTCTGCATGAACTATGGTATGTCTGTGTGCACATCAGTAATTATCTACATCCCTCCTTTAGTTGTGCACATTTGAAAGAAAATGAATTGCTTTACAGGGTCTTGTATTTGAGTTTTATAACACCAGTTTAAATAGGAACATCAGTTGATTTGAGATAAGAAAAGAGGAGTATTGATGATTTTATGGAATGGCTAAGATTTTAACTTAATACTATTTTGTTATATATTGATATTTAATTAAATAAAACATAAGATCATTTAGTTTTTTTTTCCTTTGGGAAATGTCTTATGTTTTCAGCACCGCACTCTCCCGAGTTTTTTTTTTTTTAAAAGATGACCGGTAAGGGGATCTTAACCCTTGACTTGGTGTTGTCAGCACCTCACTCAGCCAGTGAGTGAACCGGCCATCCCTATATGGGATCCGAACCCGTGGCCTTGGTGTTATCAGCACCGCACTCTCCCGAGTGAGCCACAGGCCGGCCCTCTTATGTTTTCAAAGCACTAATATGTCAGTTATCTGTTGCTGCTTACCATCACCCCAAATGTTAGTGGCTATATTCGTTTTGCTGCTGCAACAAATTACCACAAACTTAGTGGGTTAAAATAACACATATTTATTGTCTTGCGGTTCTGTAGGTAAGAAGTCTGAAATGGATTTTACTGCATTCAAATCAAGGTGTTGGCAGGATTGTGTTCCTTCTGGAGGTTCTAGGAGAGAATCTGTTTTCTAGCCTTTTACAGCTTCTAAAGGCCACCTGCATTCATTGGCTTGTGGCTCGATCTCCATCTTCAAAGCCACCAATCATATCACTCTGACCTCTGCTTCCATTGTTACATCTTCCCTGACTCTGACTTTCCTGCCTCCCTATTTTCCTTTGTAAGGGCAGTTGTGATTGTGTTGGGCCCACCCAGATAATCCAGAATAATCTCTCCATCTCAAGATTCTTAATCATATCATTAAAGTCCCTTTTTTTCAAGCCTTTTGCTAAATGCATGTTTTAATTCTCTGATATATATGTAGAAACTGCTGGAGCGAACCCGTGCCAGGCGAGAAAATCTTCAGAGAAAAATGGCTGGAAGGCCCACAGCAGCTGCAAGGTCTGCAACTCATGCTAAGCGATCCAGAGAACCACTTACTGAAACAAGTAACCAGCAGCCTCCATCTGGTGGTGAAGGTAAAAGATGAGGGGAAAAGTAAAATTGGCATTTTTTTTTTTAAAAGATGACCGGTAAGGAGATCTTAACCCTTGACTTGGTATTGTCAGCACCATGCACCCCCAAGTGAGTGAACTAGCCATCCCTATATAGGGATCCAAACCGTGGCCTTGGCACCATCAGCACCATACTCTCCCAAGTGAGCCTCAGGCTGGCCCTAAATTTGCATTTTTTAAAGGAGATAAGGCTCAAACATTTCTTTATGCATATAGGAGAACCAAGGTCTTTGGGAGACAAATGTAATAGCCTCTGGGGGAATGAGCAGCCTTCTAGTCTACTTCAGGGTTATTATATTAGGCCTAGAATCTATCAGGATGGAGCAGAGTTTCTTTTAACAAATACTTGAAATTAATTTATTGAATTTTATTATTTTAATCCAAAGTTACCAGATTTCTAAATTGCTGAGAGTGGGGTTTTAAATATTTCTTACTGTAACTAAAATTATTTAAAGGAATAGAGAAACATGTTTTATTAATTTATTAAGTACCTACTTCAAGTTTTTCATGCTGTGAGAAATTACAGAATTTTGAATGTCTTTTTTTTGTCCTTTTTAATCTAGAGAAATCTTGTACAAAACCATCACCATCAAAAAAACGCTGTTCTGAGTTTTCATGCTGTGAGAAATTACAGAATTTTGAATGTCTTTTTTTCGTCCTTTTTAATCTAGAGAAATCTTGTACAAAACCATCACCATCAAAAAAACGCTGTTCTGACAACACTGAAGTAGATGTTTCTAACTTGGAAAATAAACAACCTGTTGAGTCAGCTCCTGCAAAGTCTTGTTCTCCAGGTCCTGTGTCTCCTCAGGCTCAGTCACAAGAACCAACTACTGTCAGTGATTCTGTGGCTGTCCCAGCATCTCTGCTGGGCATGAGAAGAGAGCTGAACTCAAGATTGGACACAACTGCAGCCTCCTCAGTTAAAACACGAATGCAAAAACTTGCAGAGCAACGGCGCCATTGGGATAATAACAGTATGACAGGTACAAATTATATGGATGGTATGTTCTGTAAATCTGTTTCAATAAGATTCAGTTTGGTGCGTTGAAAATTTTATCAGTTAGCACATGAAAGGTAAATGCTTTTGTTTTATCTATATCCTGAGTATCCTTTGCTTACAGATGGTTTGTACACCAATAGTATCTTTAATTACCAGTTGATTGTGTTCTCATTGAAGTAGATGATGGTGAGTTTCTTAGACTAGTGCACAGAAGCCTGATCTTGTAACTGAATTGCCTTATATTTACAATGAAAAACAGTAAAGAACAAACTATACGTGGCATCATTAGCATTGCTGACCCTCAGCTCTGTATTCAAGAAATCCTTCTTCATGGATTCACTAATTAAATAAACTTGAGGGACTAAGGTATGCAGTGTTCAGTAGGGAGAGAGAAAATGTCAGAAAACATATATTGAGCACCTGCAAAGTGTGCTGTTGTGCCACAGTGCTGGAAACAGATCCAGTGACCTGATTTTTGCCTTTCATGAACCTATAATCAGATGGAGAGCCTGAAAATTAAGTCAGCAATTATGCAGCAGGGTTATTTGTGCCATGATCAATTTTATTTATCTCCCAACTTGTTACAAAAAAAGCCATGAGATGCCTAAAAAATCACTACCTGTATTACAAAACAAGGAAAATAAGGAAATCGGGGTGAAGAGAAAATATGGCTTCCCATATTTTCATAAAAACAAAGAAGTGAAAGGTAAAGTTAGGGTCCTCCTCTTGCTAGCAGCCAATGCAAAGAGGTGAAACACTTTACATGACTAATGTTTATAAACTAAAAGCAGAACCATTTTTTTTTTTTTTAAAGATGACTGGTAAGGGGATCTTAACCCTTGACTTGGCGTTGTCAGCACCACACTCACCCAATGAGCTAACTGGCCATCCCTATATGGGATCCAAACCCATGGCCTTGATGTTACCAGCACCACACTCTCCCGAGTGAGCCATGGGCCGGCCTGCAGAACCATCTTTGGCACTAAGACATGAGAGAACTTTCTTCTGTGTGTCTTCAAAGATGTCTGTGGGAGTTAGTAAACCTGTAAGGTTTCTCAAGGTAGGCAGATGGCCTGGCTCCAAGTTCAGTTCAGTAGAAGCAATCCTAATGTAAACCATCACAGTGTAGGCAGACAGCTCAATGCAGGTGGACAGCTCACTTGTTACTGGGCCTTATTTAAGGAAGCATTTCTTAAGCTGTGGTTCTCAGCCCAGCTGATGTGTATCAGAATCACTCAGACCATTGGATTAGAATCTCAGAAGTTCGGTGAAGGGTGTGCTTTTGTCTTATTTTTTTAAAGCTCTTTAGGTAATTCTGATGCATAGACAGAATTGAGACCAAGTGATTAGAAGAAATGGATGGATTATGTATATTTCAGGCAGTCTTCCATAAACATCAGTTCTTTTAACTGAAATTTTGGTTAGTATTGGATAGCAGAGAGTTTAAGATTATGTTTTCTGTCAGTGATTATAATAATCTCCAGAGAAATACTTACTGTGTAGGCCGGCCCGTGGCTCACCTGGTAGAGTGTGGTGCTGATAACAGCAAGCTTGATGTTACCAGCACCACACTCTCCCGAGTGAGCCATGGGCCGGCCTGCAGAACCATCTTTGGCACTAAGACATGAGAGAACTTTCTTCTGTGTGTCTTCAAAGATGTCTGTGGGAGTTAGTAAACCTGTAAGGTTTCTCAAGGTAGGCAGATGGCCTGGCTCCAAGTTCAGTTCAGTAGAAGCAATCCTAATGTAAACCATCACAGTGTAGGCAGACAGCTCAATGCAGGTGGACAGCTCACTTGTTACTGGGCCTTATTTAAGGAAGCATTTCTTAAGCTGTGGTTCTCAGCCCAGCTGATGTGTATCAGAATCACTCAGACCATTGGATTAGAATCTCAGAAGTTCGGTGAAGGGTGTGCTTTTGTCTTATTTTTTTAAAGCTCTTTAGGTAATTCTGATGCATAGACAGAATTGAGACCAAGTGATTAGAAGAAATGGATGGATTATGTATATTTCAGGCAGTCTTCCATAAACATCAGTTCTTTTAACTGAAATTTTGGTTAGTATTGGATAGCAGAGAGTTTAAGATTATGTTTTCTGTCAGTGATTATAATAATCTCCAGAGAAATACTTACTGTGTAGGCCGGCCCGTGGCTCACCTGGTAGAGTGTGGTGCTGATAACAGCAAGGCCACGGGTTCGGAGCCTATATAGGGATGGCCGGTTTGCTCACTGGCTGAGGGTGGTGCTGACAACACCAAGCCAAGGGTTGAGATCCCCTTACCGGTCATCTTTTTAAAAAAAAAAAAAAAAAAGAAATATTTACTGTGTAATGTGCTAGGCATTGTACCTATATTTTGTTCTAATGTAGTATAAATATTTTTTGTACTAATAGTATTTAATTCTTATAGCAATCTTATGAAATATATACCACTTTATCTTCATTTTACAGAAGAAGAACCTGAGAAACCTGCCCATGGTCAGCTAGCTAAAATTCAAACCCCAATACTTTGACTCTAGACCTCCTACTCTTAATTGCTGTGAACTTCCTGTTTTTTGTTTTTCTTTTTTTTCATATAATAGAGTGCAGATAGTTTATGGTATCAATTAGTACCTATTCATTTTAGTAATGGGCAGACTTAAAAATATTTCTTTGTAAAGCCTGAGGAGGCTAACCAGTAAATGTGCCTGAATAGAAGGATGCCCCATTTCTATTTTATAGGAAATATCTATGGGTAGCAGAGTACAGATTTTACTTTAAAAAAATAAATAAATAAAAAGAGTGTCGTGGTTTAACACATTGTCAAAAGAACAACCAAGAACCTAAGCATTTTGGAGCTTAAAGCACTGCAGTGATTTTGTACATTTTGAAATGTTAAATGTTAACAAATGCCTGCCTCATTCTTGAAAATAACTCTCATTAAGGCACCATATCCTGTCTGAATTTAAGAAATGACACTTGTGAATAAAGTGTTTGTAATGAATAGTTTAGTGAATACTAAATAGGGCTGCAGGTATAAGTCAGTTAAATGTTTGAGGACTTATACTAAAATATAATTTATTCGAAGGTGACACTTGTGAATAAAGTGTTTGTAATGAATAGTTTAGTGAATACTAAATAAGGCTGCAGGTATAAGTCAGTTAAATGTTTGAGGACTTATACTAAAATATAATTTATTCGAAGGCTTTCTTTTTGACAGAGATTAATTAGAAGAGCTAGAGGTCTCTTAAGCCCATTCCTAACACACAACAATAAAACTGTCATCTGCTTAGAGGACTGCTTATTCTAAGGAAGGTGATAGAGGTATATTAAAGAGTATTGTAGGGAAACTGGTGGTCAGGAAGCTTTTCTGGAGGAGGCAGAGGCAGTTAAGCTAGAAATTTAAGTAGGAGGTGATGGGGAGGTACTGAGAAGTTTAAAGCAGGCAGGGGTTTTAGAAAGATCACTGGCATTGGAATTGAGGAGGGATTGGACAGGGCAGAGATTTGAAACAGGGAAACCAACTAGAAGGCTAATGTAATCATCTGGGTACATATAGTGAAGCCCTAAGGAAGTGAAGAGGAGAAGCTGGATTTAGGAGAAGGAATCTATAGGACTTAACAACTGGATGGTGGAGGATGAAGGAAAAGAGAGGAAGAGGCCAGATTTCTGGCCCCAGTAACTGGATAGTTGATGTTATTTGTTGGAATGCCTGTGGGAGAGCCAAATGGAGATAATTGGTAGTTGGAAGACCATGAAAGACAGGCCATGAAGATACAAGAGCAGAGACTGATGTCACAAATGAAAAGGGAGTGGTATATTTTAGAGCTGTCAAGAAATACAGGACCTGCAAAGTGTATGGCATCTAGTGACAATAACAAAACCAATGTCAGTACAGTATTATAGGCAGAAGGACAGTTAAGTGAGTTGAGTAGTGAGTGAATATCGTGCAGGAAAAGAGGGGCAGTAGATAAAGAGGGTGTATGTTGATGAGAGTATATTTATTATTATTTTTAAGATGGGAAGGACATGAGCATACAGTAGTGCCCCGTTATCCTCGGGGAATATGTTCTAAGACTCCTAGTGGGTGCCTTAAACAGTGGATAGTACCGAACCCAGTTGCTGTCAGTTGGGACATGTTTCTGTTCATGTCTTCCACCCACAAATTTAATGCCTTTCCCATCTTAGCATTTGTCACACGCTGTGGCTATAGCTTTTGCAGCTTGATGTGCAATAGCAAAACTAGCATGAATTTCTTTTGCCTTCTTCACAATTTCATGGGGACATTTAATTCTCACTGTAGATCTTAGCAACCTCAGCATATGATTAGTTTTCTTTTCTTGTGAAGTCAGGAACTTTCACCTTTTCACTTAATTAACAGAAGCACTTGTTGGCTTCTCTTTGGTATATCCGAATTGCCAGCATCACTCCTCTTGCGCTTTCGGGCCATTATGAAGTGAAGTAAGGGTAACTGACCACAAGCATGGTGACACCACCATGTGCGATTTGATAACCTAGGTGGCTAAGTGATTAATGGGTGGGAGTATATACATTGTGGATATGGTATACAAAGGGATGGTTCACATCCCCGGTAGGATGGAGGGGGATGGCATGAGATTTTATCACATTGCTCAGAACGGCATGTAATTTAAAACTTATGAATTGTTTCTTTCTGGAATTTTCCACATTCTAGTTTCTTTATGGAATTTCCAATTCTTTTTTTTTTTTTTTTTTTTTTAAAGATGACCGGTAAGGGGATCTTAACCCTTGACTTGGTGCTGTCAGCACCACGCTCAGCCAGTGAGCGAACCGGCCATCCCTATATGGGATCCGAACCCGGGGCCTTGGTGTTATCAACACCACACTCTCCCGAGTGAGCCACGGGCCAGCCCTGGAATTTCCAATTCTAAAAATATAACTGAATTGTATGGTATGTTATAGCACTCATAATTCATCAAAAAATTAAACAAAATAGGTAAAACTGTTTTTTTTAAAAAGATATTTGGATTAATTATCATCTGATTTGAAAAGATATTGTCAAATTTAAAATTGACAAAAATTGGTAGTTTTACGCATGCAAGAGCTTTTTACTGGTTCTTAAACCATTTAAAAAGTTTTTATGGAGTGGTCCTGGTATAATATGTAAGTATAAGTCTTGACCATGGTTTTTAACTCTTTCTGAAAACATTTTCAGATGATATACCCAAAAGCTCACTCCTCCCACCAATGCCAGCAGAGGAAAAGGCTGCCTCCCCCGCCAAAATACCTTCTGCAGCTGCCTCAGCAACTCCACTTGGGAGAAGAGGCCGTCTGGCCAACCTTGCTGCAACTATTTGCTCCTGGGAAGATGATGTAAATTACTCATCTGCAAAGCAAAACAGTGTACAAGAACAGCCTGGTACCACTTGTTTATCCAAATTTTCCTCTGCAAGTGGAGCATCTGCTAGGATCAATAGCAGCAGTGTTAAGCAGGAAGCTACATGCTGTTCTCAAAGGGATGGTGATGCCTCTTTGAATAAAGCCCCATCCTCGGGTGCTGCTGATGCATCTTTGGTTAATACCTCAATTTCCAGCTCTGTGGTAAGTCAATACCATTTTGGTCTTCGGAAACCTTTTTTGTTGTTGTTATGAATGGTAATGCATATATGTGTGTGTGTGTATTTTATAATATATGCAGTGTGTTTATATGTGTTAGAATACTGGTTTCATAGCAAATGAAAATCATAAGTTTGGTACTCTATCCCAAGATAATTAGCAGTTGACAACTGAAATTACACTAATTGAATGCAAATCCAAAGAATACTTGGATGGGAACACTGAAAATTAATTCCTCCATTAGAATGCTTTATGTATATGTACAAACATAAGATATCAAATATTCCTGGAAAGACATATGATAAACTAGGATCTGTAGTTGCTTCTAGGAAGGCAAATTGCCAAACAGGTGTCAGGTGTTGGTACAACACTTTCCCTGTATATCTTTTTTTTGTTGTTAACAAAAAATAATATAGTGNTTGTTGTTGTTATGAATGGTAATGCATATATGTGTGTGTGTGTATTTTATAATATATGCAGTGTGTTTATATGTGTTAGAATACTGGTTTCATAGCAAATGAAAATCATAAGTTTGGTACTCTATCCCAAGATAATTAGCAGTTGACAACTGAAATTACACTAATTGAATGCAAATCCAAAGAATACTTGGATGGGAACACTGAAAATTAATTCCTCCATTAGAATGCTTTATGTATATGTACAAACATAAGATATCAAATATTCCTGGAAAGACATATGATAAACTAGGATCTGTAGTTGCTTCTAGGAAGGCAAATTGCCAAACAGGTGTCAGGTGTTGGTACAACACTTTCCCTGTATATCTTTTTTTTGTTGTTAACAAAAAATAATATAGTGTATTATTTACAGATAGATACATATAGAATGAAGGTATAAAGAGAAGCTTGGGAATGATATACACCAAATTCAGAGTAACAGTTACTTCTGATTGTGTAGAAAAGGTAGCTGAGAGGTAAAAACATGGACGTAAACAGGAATTGTAAAGTTTTATTTCTTAAACTGAGTGATAGAAACATGAAAGTTCATTATATTCCTCTTTTTACTTTTTTATTGCCATATATTTTGCTATTTAAAAAAAAAAGTCCAAGAAAGAAAAAGATTTAGCTCTACACAAATAGTGACCATTTGAGACTGCTGTCTTAGAAGGAAGGAGGAACAAAAGATAGAAGGAAGGAAGAAGGAAAGGAAGGGAAAATATTCTCAATAAAAGTAATTTTCTTGGCATTTTTCTTCAAAAGTCATTTTGGACAAGCAAGCCAAAAAATAAAATTGTCAGGGTTGGGGAGGGCACATCTGGTTAATAGGCTGACATTGTATACTTAAACATTCCTCTTTTGACAAGAGGACATGTTTTAATGTCGTGAACATCCAGGTAACTTTCTTTGTCAGTAGTGTGTGTTCCTCTGAGAAAAGGAAAT